TGACAGCTGACAAAAGGCAGACAAGTGTTGTTGCTTTTTTTTTCGCTGCCAATCGCTTCTCAACTTCTCAGCCTCTTTTGGCTTTTCAGGTTTCTTTTTTCCAATTTTTTTTCGTTTTTTTTCGTTTTTTGTCGGAAGGAATTTTGTGTCAGCGCGCCCTGTGAAGCGCCTAGCGAAAAATATTAAACATTTCTTTGATTGATTTGCTTGCAGAGTCGGCAGGGCGTCACGCCCACATCCGCCCGTTTACTTATCCAGCCCTCATTCCATTACCTTGAAAGCGAAAAAAGCGATGACAACATGCTCAGGATATCTCGAATACCTCTAAGGATTTTTTGAATGAGGGAAGGGGCTTATATCCTTATAAAAAAGGGGTTAGACACCAGGTGGAGGATTTTTTTTTAATAAACACTTTATTATGGTTTCTAGGTACTTTCTTGAAATAAATCTATTAATGAGTATCTTAAGGACGACTCTCTCTCTCTCTTTCTATAAGCATTTCCGGTTTTTGGGCGTTATTGTGGGCGTGGCCTGTTAACCATGGCAATTGCCATGTTTCAAGATCCTTCCAGAAAACTTGCCGAAAGTGATTTTTTAATGAGCTTTCGAATATATTTTCAACTAATTTAATGAATGCACTAAGAATTCTCTTTCAAGGAAAGGCAGAAGGGGGCTCTTCTTCTTGAAAGTTTTTTCCCAACTCCTCCCCTCCCCTGTTAGTCCTGGCATTACCAAGAAAAGAGCATGTGGTGGGAGTGTCACCCAAAAAGAGGAATACAGTGGAAAAGCAATTTTTAAATGCGCCTTTGTGCGAGGGAGTGTTAAGGAAAAGCTTTGACTTTTCCAGGGCGGTAGCAGGGGGGGGAGGCCTTTAAAACATGCAACTTGGTGGCCATTTTTTTTACTGGCAGGACTCTGGCCAGCAACTGAAAGCGAAACGAAAACGAGAACGCATCGAAATCGCAGTAGAGCACACCTGAGAGAAGAAACCAAAAAAAAAAAAAAAAAAATGGAAGGTAGAAGGCTGCGGTTACCATTTCCAAAACAAAAGGCCAACGATTGGGGCATGGGGGGAGTATGGGGCACGGGGCATAAATGAATGGGCCACAAGGACTCGTCGGAATCGGCGGAAACGGAACGAAAAAAAAGGACAACGACGAGAAGGACGATGACTACGACAAGAGAATTGAAATGCAGCGAAACCTCACACGCTAAATTGCATTTTCAATTGTTGCGGCCCCAAAAAGAATCCTGGACTGGTCAGGAGAGGGTCAAAAGGGCACAAAGGGGAACATTGTGGAACTCTGTGGCTGGGGTGGCGGTGGTGCCAGGAGGAGGAGGAGGAGGATGTACTACAAGTCCAGTCACAACTGGCAGTGACAATTTACTTGTAAAATCAACCGCAACCATTTCAATTGCAATTCTCCCACCAGCCATGAGGCATGAATGGATGGGGGGTTTTGGTTTATTTCGGTGCCCCCCTTTTTCGTGTTCAGTGGTTCATTAAAAGTAAACTCTATCAGAGAGTTAATCGAATCTCTGATAAAGGCCTATCAACTTTTGAAAAAGAATACTCTCAAGGACCTGTATGTCATTGGTTATGTCCTTCTGCTGCTGCTGTGACAGTTGTCCCTCCAGTTGTGGCTGCGGTCATTGATGCAAATCGATGCGAGTCACCCCCACACTCGCTTATGACCTCCTAATGAACCCCCTTGATCCTAGACTTGAACTGCGGTTGGGCGTCACGCCAAGACCGCAAATGGCATGGCAGGACCTCCTAATCGCTGTGCCACCCTCCTGACTCCCTCAAAGGTTGCACTTTCGGGGAATCAATCGCCTAAAAGTGTGAAATGCCTAAAAGGACATAAATTTGCATTCATTTTGATCCTGAGTCTCAAATCCTTGTTTTGCATAAAAATGCAGCTTGAAAAATTGCTAAATTGCATGGAAAATTGTTGGCATCCCTCGAATATATATTCGAATATAATTCATGAAGTAACCATCTTGTGAGTAATTAGGCGTCGGGGAGGCAAAGTCCAATGATCGGGGAGAGTGGAGAGTAATAAATGGTAAACTGGTCGACTGGTCGACTGGTGATTAATTACACAACAGTTAGCCATTTAGCCAGCTCATCAGCCAGGATGACCAGGATGGCCGCACTTCACACTTGGTATAAGCTTTAAGCCTCGGGCATACATACATATATCACACGATGGGAATTCGACCGGTAACTTATAGCCATGAATATATATATATTCCATGAAACTACAAGTCTGTGAATAAGCTAATAAATATGGATTTTGTAGATGATACCCGGTACTTATGGCCATACTTTGGGGTACATGTAGGTTTTATTACGCATCTCATCACAAACTAAGCGAAAATCCTCAGCCACAGCTGAGTGACTTTTCAAATAAAGTTCCTTTCCTTAGTACGGCAGTAATTTCCTTAGACTTCCCGAAAAGGAGGGGCGTTAGTTAATAGTTTTCCCCAGTAGCCAGGGTGGTGGTGGGGTAATTGATACCGAGACTGCACTGTACTTAATTGGCGTTTGTTTGCGTGAGTTCCGTAATTAGCCGGGCGCGTCCATAACTGGCGCTTGACAAACTCCTTCTAGACTGGATTTGCCTTCTTTTTGGCTCGGCATGGGCTTCTCTTAATCATCTCATTGCAGGCGAGGCAGATAGAACTAGGGTTTCGCGGCTTAAGAACCTCAAATACCCTGATGGGGCATGCATTTTTGATCTAAGATAAGCCATGTCTATATTTAGTAGTTTAAAGACCCTATATAATTCTTTAAAATACTATATAACACTAAAAACACTCTATAATAAAGAATAATTCTGTATAAACCTACATAACCCTTTCGTATTTATACCTTTATATCATCTCTTGATTTAGGAACCTCAAATACCGTTATGGGGTATTTTCGCTTCAAGATAGGCTCTGTCTTTATGTAGAGGCCTAGAACCTATATTTTCCTTTCAAATTCCAATAAAAACTGTATAATACTATAAAATACCATATAATGCTATATAATTCAAAATAATAATGAAAAATTCTGTATAAATCACTTAATCCTTTAGAATATATCATATCTTGACTTGGGAACCTCAAATAATTTTATGGGCCACACATTTTCTTCCTAAGATAGGTTTTTCTTTATATAGAGGTCTAGAGAACTTAAAAAATACTATATTACTCTTCATAATATCAGAAGAAACTATATAAAATCCCCTTAACCTATAAAATACTTATAAAGTAGGCCTATAAGATCCTGAAACAACTTTTATATTCCTATATTGCATTATATATCCATTATATTAGTGAATAATTCTATATAATACCATTCAGTACTACATAATCCTATTATATTTATGTAATCTCATGAAATATATCAATATCTGAACAGTTTCTTTCTCAAATAACTCACTAATTATAGAGTTTATAACAAAAAAGTATAAAAAACACAATTTCTAAGCCCGAATATCTAAGCACTCTCGGATCCTATAAAGAATAAACCCTATATTATCCAGAATAATACAATATGATTCTATGATTCTATGAATGATTCTATACTATATTTGTATATGTATAGTCCCCTTAAATATAAATATCTTCTATTTAAGTTTGATTTTACGGAAAACCCATTTCTTAAAGGGATTTTAGACCCTAGTATAGAATCTAGTATAGTAAACCGCATCTATAAGGCCGTATAACCCTCTGATAGAGCCTTAAATCTTGAATAATACTACAAAATGCAATGAAATTCTCTACAATTCTATATAATTCAAATATAATATTAAAAAATACTAAATACTATTATAAAATCCTGAATACTATATCCTATTTTAGAATAGGAGAATAACTTTTTAATATCTATAATCTTTAATATATCTATTTTAGAATAACTTTTTTCTCTAGACCCCAATTTCTCTAACCCCTACCCCCTATTTATAGATTCTATAACCAAATAGTATAGCCAACCCCATCTATAAGGCCTTATAACCCTCTGGATAGAGCAAAAGAATAGATGGAAGGGGGGGGGGACTGTGACTGTGAGAACTGTGAACGGAACTCGAGCTTCAAGTTATTCATTCACTTTGTCAAACTGAAATTAAAACGGGAAGCGAGAGGCGAAAACTTTTTTAGGCAACAACAACAACAACAACAACAACAAACAAGGGGTGGGGAGGGGGCGGGGCTGAGGAGGCTGAGGCCAGTGCAAGGACTTTTGCAGGACACCACTTACCTAATAAGCCAGCAAAGCGTAAAAATTTTGAAAGTTTTATGGCCGCGCGACACTCGAGAGAACTTGCTAAAAGGCGGGGTGGAGGCGGATGCCGACAAAGGGGCGTGGCAACGTCACTCATACGCAGTGTGAGACGCAGTGGGATGGAGCTACTTCTATTATTTTTTTTTTTTGGTTGCAAGAGTGAAACATTTCCCCCGCATTGTTTTCGCATTGTTTTCTGATTTCACTCGCCGGGCCGGGCTGCCAGAGTTGAAAGTTCAAAGTTTAATTTGCTAATTGTTTAACAGCTGCAACAGGAACAGAGCAGCAACAACAGCAACAACAACAACTGGCATACTGGCAAGTTGCAACTGCATCCCAGCTGCATTTTCATAATGAAAAGCGTCCAGTGGAAAAGTGCTCCAGCTCCGGTTTCCACTCCCGCCGGGCTCACCGAGCCATCGTGCTACTAAAATCCAAACCAAAAACGACAGGCGACAGCTGCCGTCAGCGCTCTTCCACCTTGCCACGCCCATGCCACGCCACTGCCAATGGGGGAAGGGGGCAGGGGCATGGCATAGTGCAGCTGCCACTGCACTCGCCGCCTTGTCAAGCGTAACGCTTTTTGACAAGTTTTTCCTCGGAAACTTTTGCTTTTATTTTCGTTCCTTTTCGGTCAAGTACTTGAAAAAAAAATGTGCCGCCCCCTCTTTTTTTTTATAGTTAGCACCACCCCTCTAAAATATAGTAGTGCGTGCGTACTCACCGTTCGATTTCCCAAATTCTTGACGCGGCAGGTCAACTTGACAGTCTTGCCAACGAGTCCGGTGATGTTGGTGCCGATGGTGGTGTCGAAGGTGGGTCCTCCGGTGCCGGGTGTGGGGAGGTCCTGCAGGAAGTCTGTGAAGAAACGCTTCGAGGCACCCTGAGTGCTGCCTGAAAATGCGAGAAACGAAAAAGAATATAGAATATTAGGATATTTGTTATATTTTGATCGAAAGGATTATATCCAGACACACCCCAACAAGAGGATTAAGAGGAGACGAGCCCTCTCTGCAGAGCAGATGAATCGGCTTTGGAGAAGCTTAAACCGATTACAAAGGCCATTTATAGGCTTATAAATTATATTAAATCGAACAATAAGTGGCCATCATCTCATCCCAGGAAGACCTTAATAATAATATGCTTGATAGTCCTGGAAGGAAGTCTAATTTGTTGCCACTAATTTGGCTTTAAATTAAGGACATTTATAACATCCTTTTTGGATTTCTAACTTGGCATTATCTTCTATTGATCCTTAGACTGGATTACTTTGAGTCCTTTTGGCCAATGAGAGCCTCCAGGCCTCAGGAGGGCATTGAAAAATGCACTTAACAAGTGTTGTAAGTACTCGACGTTGTTGTGTGTGTTGTTTGCCTCTGTGGGTGTCTGAGGGGGGAGGGGGTGTGTGTGTGTGCTCAGTGTGTGTAATGCCTAGCTGGGTCCATTTGTTGACAGCGTCATGTGGCGTTAATTGCCACTTTGCAACGAGTGGCAATTTGGAGCCGATCGAAAGCCGGCTCCTTCCATACACACTAGCCGACACACCCTCACACACACACTACACACACAGTGGGCAGGATCTACAAATGTACATATATAAGCCCACTAGTGCACAGAAAAAATAGTCCTATACTTGAAAAACAATTCTTGGCTTATTTTTAAGGAAAATATATAATACGCTAAAAAGTATTCTATGAAAAAATTAAAAAAAAACCGTTTTTTTCAATGTTCCGGGTATCTATAGTCCTTTTTATGATTCATATTGCTTATACTATTCACTATTATATTTAAACCTTTTAGACTTAAGGTCAAAGCCCACAATTAAAGACAAATATTTACAAATATTTTAGAAACGTTGATAAGTATGCTACAAAAATGATATACGTTTTTTTCTACAAAGTACCGGGTATTTATAGTCGAATTTAAGGTGTATTGAAGTTTATATAGCACGTATAGAAATATTTAAGATTGACTTTGTTAAGCACGACAATTAAAGAAAAATATTTAAAGAAAATAAAGAAGCCTAAAAATATGCTTCAAAAATACTATTAAAAAACAATGTCGTCAAAGTATCGGATATCTATAGTCAATTTTAATGGTTTATAATAATATTAACTATTTAAATACTTTTAACTATTAAAAGACTGGAGCCGTAGAACACAGTTTTAGAAAAATATTGAAAGAAAAAACTTGTCAAGCCTTAAAATGTATGCTACAGAAATTAATCAAACTATTTTGAAAAGTACTGAGTATTTATAGTCATACTTAAAGTGTATTGAAGTCTATCTGGAATATATAGAATTTAAATATTTCAAACTCACTCACATAATAGGCAATATAAGAGAAATAATGTAAAAAAAATAATAATAAAATAAAATAATAAAATAAAGTAACGGGTATATAAAGTAATTTTAAATTGTGTAATATAGTGTATAGAATTGAAATAAGTAAGACCTATACGAAAAAACTTAAATTTAGATAAAAAATATCAAGAAAAATTAAGTTTCATTACTGAAACTTTAAAAATTATGCTACATAAGAAAAGCCGGGTATAGTACTACATAGTACCGGGTATCTATAGTCATTTTTAAGGGGTATAATACCTTACTATTTATAATAGTTAGTATTTAAATATTTAATAAACAGACACTAAAATGCTAAAAACGTTATCCAAAAAGTACCGGTTATCAGTAGCCCACTTTCTTTAGTGTATTTTAGTGTTTCAGCCACCACAACCCAGGCAACTGCACTGCCCCAAATGGACCCAAAAGTCCACCCAAAAGGAAAGTGCAACAAAGAAAACGAAGAAAACAAAGGAGGAAATCGTGGGAAAAGCGGCAGAGTAGAGCAAAGCAGAGCAGAGCAGAGCAGAGCAGAGCAGAGCAGAGCAGAGCAGAGCAGAGCAGAGCAGAGCAGAGCAGAGCAGAACAAACAACGACGAGAGGCGAAAATGACTTAATGAAAATTGCCCCGAAAGGCAATTAATTAAATGATAAACGCCCATATTATATGCCCAGGAGATTGTTTGTTGTTCTGTAAGCAGTTTATGTAACATGTTGTACTCGCAAGGATGTACAACGATGGTGGCCCGACTATCCTGCCTGCCTGTTGGCCTGCCTGCCAGCCTGGCTGCCTGACTGCGATGGCTATCGGATCCTTTTTTTCGGGCAACTGCCCAAAGTAACAAATTGAAGACCGAGTGCCGCGGGCGAGATAAATTTTCGCCAGAGGACCTGTTTCCTCCTCACGAGCAAATAACTAGCGTACATCCTGCCACCATGCCACTCTGCCACCCTACCATCCTGGACCATCTACGAAACACCACTTGCCACTCAACATTCGCCATTCGCCACTTGCTGCTTGCAACGTGCAACGTGCCACCTGCAATCAGTAGCGGCGCAGACATAACGGGGCTCTGGTTGTCAGAAGATTAGCCGCCCTAGTCTTGCCACACACCAGGAAAGTGGTAGCAGAATGCAAAAAGGGGAAACTACACAAATGAAAATGGCAGAAATGGTAAAAAATAAAAATATTTTGAAAATATGAAAAAACACCTAAAAGTTCGAAGTTTTAAAAAATATATATTTTTTTTATTCTAAAAATATTTTTTTTTAAGAAAGGGTTATTTTATTAACTTAACTCTTACTTAGAAGCTTGAACAAAGACATCAGTAATGGGGTTTCTTCAAGAAAGTCATACAACATCGTTGTTTAAGTTTGAAAATTTTACAAGAAATTAATTTTTTTTTTTTTGTATTTTAAGATTATTTTTTCCAAAAAAAAAAGGTTATTCAGTATATCCTTAATAATTTTGACTTCCAGTTTTTTATAAACAAGCTTAATATAATTAATAGCTTCATCTACTATCTCAATTTACATCGCCTTTTTTCGAGAGAATCTTACGCAAAAGTTTAAAACTTTACAAAAAAGTATATTTTTTTCCTTAATCTTCATTTCTTAATAAATCTTTCTTAATAAATATATTTTTTTCTTAATAAATCTTCAATTTATTTAACAAGAAAAAGGTTATTTTTTATATCCCTTAAATTATCCCTAAAATATAAGCTTTTAAATGATCCCCTTGGATAACTTTTAACGTGAGACCCACACATTAGAGTTAGAAATTTTGTGAAAATATTATTTTTTTTTGGTTACATATTTTTTTTTACTTAAAAAACATCCTATTTTTTATACTGTTTCAACGGTCTTTAATATAAAACCTTGAAAATGGGCAGCTTTAAATGCTTTTTTTGTGAAAGAAAGGGTTCGAAGAGGTTTAAATCTTTACCAAAAAATAATTTGTATTTTTTATTACAAATTCTTTTATAAAAAAAAAGCTTATTTTGTACCTCCTTTTAACTATCCTTCATAAAAAAACCTAAAAATAGGCATCTTTAATTACCTTTCTCCAAGAAAATCCCCCCCAAAGCTTCTAAATTTTAAAAAAAGTTACCTTTATTTTTAAAATTAAAGATTCCCTTTGCGAAAAAAAGCCCACTTTGTATTTTATTTCAACAATCCCGAGTTTACAAGCTTGCCAATGGAGAGTCTACAGGAAGTAACCGTGCCACCTTTAATTGCTTTTTGCCGTGTAGCCATAACTTAACCGTTGTCGCGGGACAGGTGGCACAACAAAAAAAAAAACACAGTTACAGTCACAGTCAGAATCGCAAAAGTTGGGCTTTGCTTTTGTGTAGATTTTAGAAAAAGCAAAAAACAAAAGCAAAAAGCAAAAGCAAACTCAGGTGAAACTAAAAACAAAAGCAAACACAAAAGCTTGAAGCTAAAAACTGGCAATGAAAACGAAACTGAAGGGAGCCGTCTCCCTGGCGGGTGAAAGGACCTGGACTGGAGGCCGCCCCCCAAAAATGGCAGAGACATTTGCCAAAAGTGTTAAGTGCCATTTCTTTTTCTCTCAGTGTGTGTTCTATTTTTGGTGTCGCAGATATGAGAGCATTTTTGGCGCAACGATTACACCAACGATTATGCTGATGAGGAGGAGGAGAAGCCCTATAGGGCCAATTAAAGGAGAACCGTGGTGACATCCTCCATCCTCTCCCCAAAATTCTAGCCGCCCTTGGCTATCGTCGTCTGATTTATGACCGCCATTCACATGCACGCGTTCCTTCTTTTCTGCGCCAAAAAAAGTCACCATCCTACCATCCTACCATTCGCAAGGAGAAGATACAGATACAGATACACGGCCTCACCACCTCCGCTTCCTTGCCACACGTCCTCGTTTCGGTTTTACAACTTTGCCAGAATTATGTTATGCAAACACACACGGCCGCGTTATGTTGGCATCTGCTATTTGTTCAGCGTTTTATGCACTCCCCGTCTTGCGTAATTGAAGTTCATTTTTTTTTTTAATATTAAAGGCACATATTTGGGGCATGGAAGGTGGCATGGACATGCCCACCATGTGGGTGCATGTCCTCCTGTCACATGTCCTTTGTCTCGTGCAGTTTTATGCTCCTTTTTCTTTTTTTGTTTTTTTTTTTAGCACACCCAGTGGATACCAACGACTTGTCCCGCTGTGCGTGATAATGTTTCAAGCATGTCATTCAGGGAGCAGCCAGCAAGGCATCGTTAAGTTGTCAATTGCCAGGATAACAAGCCAGGACTAAGGACCAAGGACTAAGGCATTTGAGCAACTTAATTTCGGCTCAGCTTTGGAAATTATTAAAAAAATATATACAGTATGTTATGATGAGTATGGTTAGAAAGCGAGAGCAGCCTTTCGAATTCCTGATTTAATACTTTCCCAAATTTTCCCGAAAAAGTCTTCAACTTGGATTCACAAAAGTCTTCGTATTCACAACATAAGTACTTGGATTGCAGTTTCAAAATATCACAAAAAATATACCACTTTTAGTATTTAATAGCCAAAGTATA